AGGATGGCCAGAAGAGAGTAGAGCATCCAGAGAAACTCTTCAAAAACCTGAGTTAGAAATCCAAGTGTCTGTTATAATCCTCCCAGACTCTTAATTCTGGTCTTGACCACTGCTGACAAATTTCTATAGAAAGCTGGGCAGATTCTATGACACTAGATGTCAAATTCTGTGAAGGGATGCAGAAATACATTCCTGTCTGTTGTTAAATAGATTCCTCATCCATCTGGCTGGCTTGAGTCCATAACAGCAACTCCAAACAGCACAAAAGGTAAGGCATCCCAGCAGAACTGAAACAGGAACAAGCATTAGTCTACAATAGTTTAATATTAAAATCCTTCTTTCAAAAGGCATTTAGACTTTGCATGGACAGGGAGGAAGGTTTGCACACAGCAGCGTGGAAAGCTTTACTCACCCTGTGCCCACCTGCAGCTTTGTCCTGACTATCCTTCTGCCATGCCTCGTGGCATGGCCTGGTGGCATTTCTAATTATTCCAATAGAAAGCAATTGTTAATGCAGAAAGATCAGAAAATGCATATGCTGGAGAGATTCAGTTATGGAGCTCAGCCTCCTGATAGGCCAGCACTCATTAATTTAGAATTACCAGAAAAGATGCAACTCCAACAAGAATTCCTGTCTTTAAAATACTAAAATGAACAAGATATCACAGCCTTGAAGCGTTCAAGGCGTTCTAATGATGATGAAGGTCAAAGACAAAGTGCAGACCTGTGGAAGTGAAGAGTTGTCAGACACTAATGTAATGCTTATTTCCACTGAAGTAAGTAGACTGAAGCTTAGAGTGGAAAAAGATGGGAGAATACAGATGAGCTTTTTGGTGCTGCAAGAAGGAAGGACTACAGTCAGCAGTAACCCAAATGACATTCCCAAGCATGTAAATATTGCACTAGGTCTTACTATAGCAACAACAACAAAAAAGACTTTAGCAAGTTCTTGCTACACGTTTGGGTAGCACAGCTCTGTTTTGTACTCAGTTAAAAGGAAACTGTGAAGGTAAAAGTTCTCTATTTTCTCAGTATGGTAATCCCAGACACAGCATAACCAGGGGTTTCTAGGCTTTTTACTAGGTCACTGCTGACGGTGATCATCATCTTGTGTGGCTGGGAACCAATGTAATTTGCAAGTACACAAATAAGGTAATTCTGCAAATTAACTGATGAATCCTTGAGTCTTTTGCCTTCTAAAATCCATCAGTAAGATAATAGATTGGCAGGACAGAAAGGGAGAAATTCATTTGCAGAAGCTCACTAGGCTCAAGATAGATCCCTGCAAAGCTTGGGAAAACAGCTTTCTGCGGCTCTGCTGACTTTCTGTTTAATTACTTAGCCAGACATGACCTTGCACAACTTCTACAATACAAGGACTAGGAGATCTTTTGTGGTAAGCAGAGCCCATAATAACTCTGTTCTCTTATCTCTGTTTCTCTAGCTGATGCCACACTTTGCATAACTATACGTATCCCTGAAGAACCTAATTGAGAAATGGCTTTGTGAGGGGATAATAATTGAGTTGTAGGAAGTTATTACACAGGAACAGTGTTACTTGTCTTTTTATTGTTACATACAAATACTGTTATCAGGAACCTTATTTCTATTCATATGCCCTTTGGGTTGGCACTTGCTACATGTTTGGTCCCTGGAAGAAGGAAAAACCTAAGAGGCTGAACAGAGTGATGCTATTTACCCATACTTTTCATGCAGCTGGGAGGTGTGTAACTATTCAGTTGTATTCTTTTATGCACCTGGGAATCTGCCTTGTATGAAGGCATTCCCAAGGAACATGAGTGTGAGTGGCACCTTAGGAGAGCCTAGCAGGGAGTCTGCATACCTCTGCAAAGTGAAACTACATTGCTTGCAGTGACAAATGACGAGAACTGAAGGAACTGGAGAAGTAGTGACATAGCGGAATAACGCAGTGGATTGTTCAGTGCTAAGAAACTGTTTCATTACAAGCCCTGCATTATATGGTTCTCTTGTTTTGTTTTTTGAAAGCACTGTATAAATAACAAATATTTTAGTTTGTATTGGTGATCTGACAGTTTAAACTTGCATTGCAGGGGACAGTGATACTATTTTTGAGGTGCATCACGTCATACATATAGATTGGGGGGGTTGGTTGTTGGTTGGATTTTTTTTTTTGGTGGTAGGTGTTTGGGTTTTTTTTTGGCGCTAAATATACCTGTAATATGCAATTCAGGAAAGAAAGGAGATGGTCCAAGTTCTGCCACATTTTGTTAAACAACATAGAGATGCTATGCTAGTCCTTCTAGCTGTTGGAGTCATTCACACTTCCACCCTTATCATACCCCTCTAGGACAAGCACAACCTGCCCCTAAATCTCATGCCCTGAAAACACAACCCTCTCAGAGCACCTGGCCACAGCTGCTGCTTCCAAATGCCCAAAAGTACTTTGATACCACTTGCACATCAGCTTCTTATATGTCTCACTCTGCTATATTTGCCTTTCTAGCACAAAAGCTGTTCTGCCTTAAGGGATGAATAAAGCCCCACTGGTTCTTAATTGCCTTCTTCCCCAAGTGGCTTGGGCCATTATTTGCTAACTGGCTGTAATTATCCTTTATTTTAAACTAACTAATGTACACTCTGATTTTGGTGTTATGATGTTCATTAGCAAGCATCCTGTTTTGAATGTGTATGTGTTCTGGGAATGTCCAGTCTACAAGAATGGACTGATTTCTGTCACAAGTGTAGGTGAAATACCCTGAGGAACAAACCTGTATGTGGTAACTGATCTGAAATGAAATCAACGATGTTAAGGACAGAATATCAATGGATGGTCAAGTTGCAGACGGGATTTGCATGTGAACATTTTCTACAAGTGAGATATAATTTTTATTGTCCCCAAAAGATTGTTTGATGGAAAGACTGGTTCTGAGCCTGTGCCTGCAAAAGATTTCTCCCCATGGTCTGTGTTTGTGGCATGATTAGAGGTGAAGAAAGGATTCATCTCCTGAGTGGTACTGTTGGTGGTTTTGCGATGGAAGTGGGATGCTACTTTTGCACTCAGGAAATGTGGATAGAATGGAAGCTTCCCTTCATACCTTGACTCAAACATAATCTATAATTTAAGAAAAAGCCTGAGTCCTAGCAGATGATTTTTCTTGCTATTCTCAAGATACTCATCAATGTGGACTGCTCAGTTTTCAGACGGATAAATGTGTGCAGCATGTAAAACTGATGCTGAATGCTTTTTAACAGCCATGGTTCCGCCATCTGCCTCCTACTCAAGCCCCTGGATCTGGAGTTTTCTTCCCTGTCATCCATAATAAAGAGCATTGAATAGCGGCTGCTCCCCCAAGCACACGCTACTAATAACTAGTAATATTGATTGCTGGATAATGAAGGAGGCAACTTAGTTTTTTTTCTGTCTAGCGAGATTATTTCAGTCAAAAGTATGATCTGAATTTCCAAGTGACTCTCTGTGGACATTCTTCTTATCGTAATAGAGGCTCTTTACCCAATGTAGAATAATAGACTTCCTTAGTGGAGCAAACCACATCAGGAAGAGATGCTCTCAAAATTGTACAGGTGGAAAGCTACTGCTGAAAACCTTGTTCCACAATTGCCTTTCCAGTTAATTTCCTCTTGTATACAAGCCCTTTCTCAGAGCATTTTACATATATTTCCAGAGAGAGCACTTGATCACCAAGCTTGTGCACAGTGCTCACATCTCAAGATACCAGGCATTGCAAGTGCCTGGTTCTAGAAATCAGCCTGATGAGCATTCATATGCCTGGTTTGGCTAACAGAATTACCTGATCTGTTCTAATGTGCAAAATAGTTCTAACTGTATATGAGACTACTGCTTTTTCTGGGTGTTTTGTTATCTGTCTTACTGAACTGGATGAGGAGGCAGCTGAATAGAGAAGTTGTAGAAATGGAAATAAGAATTAAATAATGAAATAGAAATATGTGTTTAAAAACAAAAGGTTGCCTATTGCTCATGGAAGTAGTGAGGTATTTACAGAAACAAAACCTTTAGAGTAAAGGCTTAAGAATGTGACGTTGCATGCTTAGGAACTTCAGCTAATCTCTGAATATGACAATTCCCACATGTGGAAAATTGCAAGGAAATAATTGTCATGCTATTGAGTTCTGTACAAGTTGCGCACATCTTTGAAAGTTACTCTAAGCAAATGTAATTGTACCCCTGGATACTACAAACTATGAAATGAGTTTCAAAGAGCTTCCAAAGTCTGTGGGCTTTTCACCATACCAGGTGTTTATGTCATTTGCTAAGTATAGGCTATGCTTCCATCCTGCCACTAGGAACTTCAAACACTGATCTGCCAGTCTGCTAAGGAAAATTTTCTTGGTAATTTTTTTTTAAGTCAAAATGTGACTGTAACTCTTCCAGGCTTTTTTTTTCCTTTTATTTTTTTTGTTCCTTTTAAACATAGTGATAGTTATGTGAGATTTAAAAAGGCAACCATCTTCTATTGTTCCATTTACTTTTCAGAAATACTGAAAGGAAGAATAAAAAAAATGCCTATTAGATGGTATTTTGTATATGCTGCAGACATACATGTGTACGTGTGTACATAGGGGAAAACAAAATTAATGCAGTGTAAAATATGGTTTTATCTAAAAATTCAGGTATCTTAGCAGCAAACCTGCTCGAGAAACTGAGATCCTTTTATTTAGGTTAAAGAAAGATCTCTCATGTCAGATATAAAATGTCTGCCTTGTTACTCAGATGCACTAAGCAACCAGTACGTTTGCCATATGCATTACTGTATCAGGCCATCTCTGTGTATCAATGTACATACACAAACATAAATACATCTCTGTGTATGTGCATAAACAGACTTGTAAAGTAATCTTAAGTTACGGTTTCTGTATCTGCTAGCTACTCTCGTGCACTTTCAGCCTTTACCCAGAAATGGAGCTTGCCAGCTTTTCCAGGCTTTGTCTCTTTTTAAATATCCATTTGCATACATGGTATCCCCCAGTTCTCCCCTTACCTTCACATCATTGATGTTCATCCTAGTTCCCTCCTTCCCAACAAAGATGTCATCTATGTCAACCAGAATATACCGGTCCAAGGACAGGGTGAGCTTCTTCCCGGATAGGAAAGAGATGGCATCAATAAAGATCAGTTTGTGCAACCAGAAGGTCAAGTTGTTTCCAAAGAGGACTCTCTGAATCCCATCATGAAGCCCCAAATCTTGGATGACAGTTGCATACAGAGCAGCCTTTGGCAATGCTGCAAGGTGCGGCCTGGAGGTCTGCAGTTCGGTTAAAAGCACGGGTTGATAGGTGGAATGGTTAAACTGGAAAACTGTCCAGTCTTCACCAGGCAGTGGACCTTTCTCAACCCTTGGTGCTTTGGTAATGCGCAGCAGGGGAGACTGAGAGTTTACCATACAGTCTTTGAGGGCCACATTATTGTAAAGATGTAGTGGCAATCCTTTCAATTTTGTACTGGGGGAGCTGTTTTCATTGGCTTTATGAAAACCAATTATGCTAACACTGTATTCCACACAGTATTTTTCCAGAAGCTCTCTATTCCATGAGTCCATGGATACATACTTTAAAATATTCTCATATATAACAATAGTGTATTTTCCTCTTCCACTGTCTGTGAGAGGGGGAATGTCCCCCTTAGTTGGTGCAATGACCATGTGGTACTGAAATCTGCTGGACTCAAGGATGGCTATGATGTCTTGCCCCAGCTGGGAGTACTGGCTTTCCACAAACAGGAGGACGGTGGGATCAGTTTTAGATGGATCAATTGGCTTAGCCTGTTTCAGCTCCACAGACCTGTATGGTAGAAGCTTGAGGTCTTCACACTCTACTTCTCCAGTGGTTTCCACAAAGGCCATTTCCTGCTTGTAGCCGGTGTAGAGGTAATAGGCAGAAATGACAATACTTGCCAAGCAGAAGGTTGCCAGAAGAATGACTAATGTTCTGAAACTTCTGCGGAACTTCACAATTAGACTCATCTTTCGCAGGACGATCAGCTTCTGTTGAACTTCCCGCTCTTTTGGTTCTCTGCTCCTAAAGTACCATAGGAACAAGGAGATGCAGAGGTGCCAATTCCCCTTCCAAGATGTTCATGTGACCATTGCAGTGCATTTATGAAGCTGTCAGGGATGTTATAAAGCTGTTGGAGTAGGAAGTCAAAGGATCCAGAAAGCTAAATTGAAAGAGGTTTTGTCAGAAATCAGCAGCTGCCAATAATCAATGAAGAGGACTCTTAACATTATCTGCAACAAGGAGCAGAGGAAGAGTAAATAGAATAAAATCCATAAAGCAATTAAAACCACATGTTGATAAAGTCAGTGATTGATACTGGTAATCTCAGTTAAGAGGGAAGTTAGAGGAACACTCTGTGTCACTTTTTTTTTTGATGTATTAAGATAAGCTGCATTAAAGAGCTCTCCCATATTCCTAGGGTATAAACTATGAACATAATTTCTTGAGGACATGTATCTCTTCATTTATGGACACTTTTTATCTAAAATTGCTATCACAGATGGGAATGACTGAAGATTGCAGGACAAAATTAGGATAAAGTAAATACTTTTTAAATACTGGGGCATGTTCCATGTCAGTTTCAAACTTCAGAAGTATTTTGAAAGGGGCAAAAAATTCTATGTTGGACCATGAAACTAATGAAAGTAAAGTGAAAGGCATGAGAGGACTTTGAGGAAAGATTTGCAGAACTTTTCTCTCCAGTTTCCATTCTGTACCTGGAATGATCAATACTTTAAAGCCCATTTAAGGGCTGTCTGAAATGACACCTCCAGCTGAAGGACCGGGACTTCAGTCTGTCCCTGCTGTACTGTATGGGTGAAGTACAAGGGGCTTAAACCTGATTGCCTGGCCAGCTCTGAAGCCCTTGTGCAATTCCTGGTAATTCTACCTAAACTTATGAAAAAATACTATTGGTAAGAGTAACCCACATGACTCAGAGGCAATTAAAAATAACTAAATAGCCAGTGCTGCTGTATGGGCTGATACAGGAATTAACATCTTTCTGAATTATTTATATTGTTTACTTATTGGAACAATGTGAGACTCTAAACTATGAATGATTTTTTGAGCTGCAAGGAAGAAACATTTTCGTCAGGTAGTTGTTAATTTATGTGTCCTCCTCCATTAACTCAGATTACAATTTTGAATTTCATTCTGGAAACTATTCCTTCATCCTAAGCTTTATACCTAAAACTGGAAAACACTTGTAAGAAAGATAGTGAAAAAAATAATCTACCAGTATATTTTAGGAGTCTGGTACACAGTTCTAACAAACCTCTTGATTGTGTTGGTTCAGGATCTTGAAAATGCAAGTGAAAAGTTTTAATTTTTCTTGAAATGCTTTGTATACTGCTCTCCCACTGCTTTTTGGAAGCTTGTCAAGCAATGAACAGAATGATGAAGTAGTGAATTAATAGGTCTACTTGCCCATGAGAGGCTTGTTGATGCTTTCACAGTTTTCAGAGGGAGTTGTTGCTAAGGCTATTTGTGACTTTGGCAGGTTCAGAATTCTATCTGCTTTACCTTTCTCAGAAGCTTGCCAAGAGATTAGTACGCCTGTATGGTGGGCAAATCCATCAACAGCTCTACTTGTGTTACACATCAATTGGCCAAAAGGTGGGCAAGGTGGGTAGCTTATCTGTGGACGGAAGTCAACAGAAATGAGAAAAGTTGTTCTGAATTTAGAAAAGTCTCATGTATGACAGAAGAAATAAAAGAAATTACACCTATCACTAGGAAATGAAAATCACCCTGATAACTGTAAGAATATTTGCTCCCCTTTGCTGCTTCCCTTGTTCTGCAGTTCTGACTGCTTGCTGGAATCTTGCTCCCTATTGAAACTCCAATTCAGATTTTATCAAAAGATAAAACGGTATCAAGTGAAAAATCCTCTGTGAGGCCATGTTCAAGTTTTGGTGACATTGACGAGTCACTCGGCAGGACTCCGAGGGTTTATTGGATCTGGAGGACTGCTCTCTGTTGGAAAGGTGAGTAACCGCCCCACAAAACAGCTAATTGCACCAAGCCTTAAATTTGTTAGCATGAGAGAGGCAGGTATCCTGGAAACAAGAATTAAAAGCCCCGCTCGGACGCTGCAGCCTCTGCTTTGTTTCAGCACTAGAGGGCAATGTTTTCTTGCTTTTTAGCAGGCGGCACCTGCTGTCTTCGCAGAGCAGACAGCTCTGCGTGCTGCCAGGCATTTTCCAGAAGAGTCTCGAAATCCTCAGAGCAGGTAAAGCGCCTTAATTAAGACTCTTATGTGTAAAAATAAATGAAACATAAGACCTCTGCTCTAAAAAAATCTGCCACTAAATCACACTGAATGCTTACCAAATGTCTTAGCCTACACCTGGGGTGCAAGAGAATAGCATGACCAGAGAGCTAAAATTGCACGTTTTTTCCTCACTGTTCTGTCCTGCTAGATCTCCCAGATACTGACATTGCAAGCTGTCCAAATAATGAGGCAGATCTTTGCTGCTGCTGTTGCTTGTATTACTAAATGTAATGTGCAAAACTAAATGGAAATGTAAAATACGAGAAGCTCCTGACTTTATACTAGCCAAAACAAAAATATGTTCTTCATTCCAAACTATTTGATCCAAATAACATTGGTAAAATCTCTTCCAGTTAAAATTCTAGTAATCAGATTTAATTTAAACTAATAAGTCTGTTGTATGTAGGTGGTATAACAAGTGCCAATATTCACAATTATCTAAATGTCTAAATACTAGAATTGATAAGGAATTTAAACTTTTATACAGAAACCTGGCATTGGAGCAGATCTCTTTTAGTTTGTGCATTGCGTTTGAATTGCTCTTTTGAACTGATAATACTGTTCAGTTAAAAAAAGTGTGAAGTAATTAAAGTTTATGAAAATCAGCTATATTAGCCATTAGTGGGACATTTTCCAAGTCATAATTGGAAGTTAAGTGTGGTTTGTGTCTTTGAAACTCTCCCTCATAAATTTCAACAGCTTTCTATTCACTAAGAAATTCAAATATCTTAGGAGCATTGCTATGCTATATTTATTTAATAAACATGAAAATAGGCTATATTTCATAATTAGTGTTATTAATATTAGTTTCATTTTAGAATTGGGTGTCTGAGGTCCTGTATTCCTATGGTCACCAGTCAGCATTCATTGACTATTCAGGGGTAAAGCCCAAAGCTGTCTACACTGGATCAAGGTTACACTCATCCAGAGCATGATGTAGATCTTAAGTCTTGCATTCAGCTGACTTCTTAGGCATGGGGCCTTTCCTCAGAGAGCAGATCTCTGCAGTGTATCTTTGTTGTGATGCTATAGCCATCTGCAGGAACTCTTAATTTTTCTTTAGTTCAGTCAGCCAGAGAAAAACAGAGGTTTCAAAATTGCTGCCTCCTTATTAAACACTACTTCCTGCTTCCCCTTAAAAAATGCTTTCAATTGATGATTAAAGCATACTGATTATGAGCATTGATTGAGTGGGACATTAGGACTCAACTGTTTAAAACTGATAGCAATATAGTGAAGAGAAACAGTCTTGTATGAACACCATGTGTTAACATTGCATCAGGAATCAAAGCTGATTCTCTCATGGTCCAGTTCCTATACTCAGACTTTCTCACAGGGCTTAGTGATTCAACAAACATTTTGACCAAATTAGGTGCAACTAATCAGGGTAGGCCATACATTGCAGAAAACAGTTACAGTTGGTGAAAGTAGCTGTTAATTGCTAATAAGGGATAGCTGAAATAATTAAGTTATCACCTGGGTGATAACTGGGTAAATGGGTGAAACTCCATTGAAAGTGAGAGTTGCTGCCTTCCATCATCTCTCTGGAAAAAGAGGTGGTAAGTGAGCAGTTTGGCTCTGGCAGGAGGCTGCCAGCCTGTCCAAAGAGCAGGGTCAGAGCACTGTCTTGCAGGGCTGTTGTAAAGCTCTACTACTTTTCTTACCCTGTCTTGTAGGTAGGCTAAGGGTCTCTGATCTAATTCAACTTCTGGAAAATAGAGTTGTTGATGTTAAGCAACAGTTGTGTTTATCTGCTCCACGGATCAAGTTAATAGAATTTTCTGCAGCATGAAAGAGCATGTTGATGCTAGTGCAGAGTAGAGGAGCAGGATGCTTGCTAGATTTGCATCACTTCAATACAGTTCCTAGTCTCCTGTCTGCACCAGCATGCAAGGCTGCTCTCGTGGAATGCTCTGTAAGTAATCCATCTGGAGCCAGGTCAGAGGCTTCTTTCCGTTCTACTCCAACAGAAGTCAGAGTGTCTTTGTTTTCTATATCTAAAATTTCCCTTTAGGCTAAAAAAGAATACTGTGAACTTTCCTCTTTTCCTTCCTTTATAAGCTTGTATGACTTCTGCCATTTATTAGAAGCCAAATGATTTGTGAAACCTACTTGCTACTCCTTACATATGGCTGCTCATTCAATATAGAAACAAGCAAACTGATTTAAGTGGAAAAAACTGCTCCTGTTGACCATTAGAGAAAGTTCAGGGTTTCAATTCATGCAGAGGGAAAACAGCTGTTTTTCTCAGAAGCTTCCAAGAGACTTTTTTACTGAGCTCATGAAACTTGGGCACTTCTTGAAAGTGTCCTTTTTCTTTTTAAAAGTTTGCAAAGTTGCAATGTGTTTTGTGTTTATAAATATGTCTTTGCTCATGAGGGGTGCTGCTGCCACCTGCTCATAGCTGGTCATAGGTTTTAGAACATTCTTTTGCCTAGGATAAGGGCTGATAAAAGCTGTTGCAGGTCTTCTAACTTTGTCCTAGCTCTACCTTATAATTTCTGAGTGGAGAGGCTGTTCAGCACTTTCATGTCCTGTTTATTTTTGATGCATAATTATCTCTAAGTTAAAACACCAATGTTCCAGTATTTTCAGCAATTTGATCAGTCTGTAATGCACATATAATCTTGTGTGATTTGAGAAAGCTAAATGATGCCATAGGTCGAAGTTGATAATGAATGTAAAACAAAGTGCTTCAAATACCTCAATAACTTGTGAACTCAATGAAAGTTGGCATGGTTGTGTGCATGAAACAATACTTGGAAGCTAGCTATTTGACCCTCTTGACTTCTATATTTCTTTGGCTCTAAACTCTTCCAGATGATTTCAGAACTTGGAGATTTGAAGAAAAAAGGCTCCCTGGTGGAAAGGCAGTTAAAGGCATATTTGGAGATAGGTTTCATACATATATGTATTCTCATGTGTGTACAGGTGTGCGCGCCCACACACACACAC